TGGCTACTACAAGCATCACTGTTGACACACACACACACACACACACACACACACACACACACACACACACACACACACACACACACACACACACAGCGGGGCCAGAAGCTCTGAATCGACCCCTACAACCACAAATAGATGAGTACACCTATTGTTTTCTCACTGCCACTTCCAACAATGAAATACAAAGTTGACGAATGGCAGGTAGAATCACAAGCAGGAAGCATCGAGAGTGTAGGTTATTCACTTCGTCTTCTCTGGAAGTGTGCCCAGGAGGCACTCTACCCCTATTATATACCAGCGCCAGGGTGCCACAAGGGCCAAATCTAATGCCCCATTTAAACGAAAAAAAAAAAACAGTATACTCGAAGGCCTTACAACTGAAAGTCTATCGTTATTTATACCGCTTTCCGACCTAATGGAAATAATGGAGATGTGTCTATGATGACCTGAACCGTTATTACGAATTGATGTTAGCGCCGTAAAAAAGATGATGTCGCGTTCCATTGTTTATACATCTATAAGTGTACATCGCAGTGTATATATATATATATAAATATATATATATATATATATATATATATATATTATATATATATATATTATATATATATATATATATATATATATATATATATATATATATATATATATATATATATATATATATATATATATATATATATATATATATATATTATATATATAACGTTAGGTGTGTATCCCTCAGTGTATATACACTGATATTTATCTCTCAGTATATTTACACGGAGAGGTGTGTATCTCTAAGTCTATATATATAACGATAAATTACATCAGAGTATATAAGTGAGGAGGTATGTATCCTCATTGTATCTACAACGTGAGGCGTATATCAATCTAAATATCAATGTATTTCATTCTAGATAAATAAAAACCTGTTGTACAGCCGAGAGATCTCTAAAGGTATCCAGATGTTGGACATGTGTCGTATTCATCAGAGTACCGCCGTTATTTTACTGTAATTTATTCATTCCCTTTAAGTCTGCGGTTGTAGCTGTGGACCGGGACTTGTTGCAGACGTCTTGGGGTCCACTTTGAGTTGTCTTCCTGAGCTTCCTTGCTATGGCTGTAGTCTAGGGTGTGTTGCGAACCTTTGCAACACACCTAACCCACAATCAATTTGGGAAAACAAGGGTGTGTTATTTGACTTGTGGAAGATTATTATTTTGAATAAATTAGTGTGTAAGATGGACATGGGTTAGAAAAAATGGCATGTTTACCTGTAACTATAATCCAGAGTGCTGGATACCCTAAATGAGGGATTAAATTATGACTGCATGTACCCTGAGAAATATATACCTGTCAGTGCATATACTCCATGATGACTGAAGGTGACAGATGAAGGGGAATCATTCAGACACAACAAAATACCTTAAAGTGATGAAATCATACAGTGTATCGTCGTTGTACGTGATCACGGTGCCTGAACACGCAATTAGACGTCAGTTGGCCCTGACAATCGACGGAGGTGAGCCGAGAGTGACGATCCATCACTCAACCAATTGAGGTTACGATTAAATCTGTAAGAGCAAACAACGCTGATTTCAGTAACCCATACCTTTTATTCATTGCCGTTACTGCATCGTGTTTGGAGAATGTCTGGCTAGTTCGTTAGGCTTGAAGCCTGTCCAGTACACCAGAATCATTAAGGCTGTATGTATCTTATGCTCCAATACTGAACAATGCCATAATCCCTGAAAGGGACTTAAGGTACCCTCTCAGCATATATACACTGAGTCATAAACACGTCTGGGTGTATATACACTGACAGAGGTTATTATCACGAAATATTTTGTATGTTATAGACAACGGTATTAAGAGTTTCATTAGAGGTAATATTAGTAAACAAGGATTCCACATCAAATGAAGTCATAGTGCAATTGTAAAAGAGCCTTTAACAGTGGAAGAGTTAGAAGCAATTGAGAGTTTTCCTTCAACACACTACACACACCCCTGCAGCCACATGTAAGTAAACATGATTCATGATCATAAGACTCGCCCAAGTCAGTGAGGCAGAGTGTACACAGAACGCACCATAGACACACAGTAAAGAAATCAACGTAATTCGTGCTGCATATCGTTCTCACGTTCGCTCTTGACCTAGAGTCACAGGTGCGGTAATAGCAAATAGAGAGGTTTTTAACTAGTCTCATTACCAGAGGACCGTGTTTGACTTTGGAGAGTGTATAATATGTTGTATTAATTGTTAATAGCGTTGTGTAATGTGTTGCTTTGATTGTATAGTACAAGTAATTGTATGACGAGTAATGGTGAGGATGACGTTGTCAATCAATGAGGGAGGATTTTGTTATTCTAGGCAAGTACTTGAGAGTGAATGTTGTTGTCAGTCCACTCAAGTGAGAGTGTTGCTGTCAGTCCACTCAAATGAGAGAGAATGTTGTCGTCAGTCCACTCAATTGAGAGAGAATGTTGTCGTCAGTCCACTCAAGTGAGAGTGATTGTTGCTGTCAATCCACTCAAGTGAGAGAGAATGTTGTTGTCAATCCACTCAAGTGAGAGAGAAAGTTGTTGTCTGTCCGCTCAAGTGAGAGAGGAAGATGATATTAGTCTAGCAAATATGAGTCTTCATTAATTAACCTCATCAGATACACAGTTACCTTCCACCCAACACTCCAGCAAGTACCCGAGTTTCTTACACACAGAATATAACATGTCACTGGAATGGAATTCTCTAGTACATTCTTTTTCCTGAATGTGAACCACAACAGTCTGCTAATTCACGGGTACTTATTTTAGATCTAGGTGGATAAGGGCAGTAGAGGTGTAAGGGAACTTGCCTATATGTTTCTCCGTGCCAGGGAATCAAATCCGGGACCTTGCGAGTGGGAGTCGAACGCCCTCACCAGATGAAAGGAAGGTAAAGAGATTATGACTGGAGGGGATGGGGGAAAAGAATTGATGTAGAGGAGAGAATGATGTAGAATGTAAGTGATGGAGCCGTGTGGTCACCAGCGTGGTCACCACACCTCCCTCTTACATAATTCTCCTCTGTATCACACACACACACACACACACACACACACACACACACACACACACACACACACACCTAATATACACATGACTGTCTGAGAATATCTTCTCTTTAGCAGGTGTGCCTGGTCAATCAGGTAACTGCTTCTGCGGTAAAGAGGCTCCTGCATAGTCATCACAGTCGGGCTTATACATCACAGCCTGAAGGAACTCGTCTAGTTATCCATCGAAGACCTCTGCATCAGTTTGGGAAATATTTCTTGTATCACCTGATAGGTACTTGTGCCTCCTCCCATGGGAGACTTAGGTCTCAGACACTCCCTAAAGAGGGAGTCAAGGCCGGGCCACCACTTGGAAAAGGTCCGGGCCGGGAGAATACCTGCGAATCTTTAATAATAATAATAATCACCTGACAGTAAGTTGAAGAGTCTTGAACTATGAATATTGATACATTGATGTCTTATTATTCCTTTGACACTCCTAGTTCTTTGAATAGCTCCAAACAACTCTGATGTTTCATTGATTCTTTGGGGCAAAAACAAATCTTCCTCTGAAACCGTGTCTCTGGTCTATATAATCTCCTCACTGATTTGTCATCTCTCAGTTGGTGAGGTTTACATTGACCCAACGTTATGCTTTCCTCTTCTTGGCTACGTGTTTTATGTTTCCTAAATGATAGGTCATTTTTTAGTATCATTCATGTGTTTATTACTTTTTCTTGTCATTTTATGGTGGTTAACGCTCTCGCTTCACACGGTGAGGGCCTGGGTTCGATTCCCAGCCAGAGTAGAAACATTGGACGTGTTTCTTTCCACCTGTTGTCTATGTTCCCCATCAGTAAAATGGGTACCTGGGTGTTAGTCGACTGGTGTGGGTCGCATCCTGGGACACTGACCTAAAGAGGCCTGGTCACAGACCGGGCCGCGGGGGCGTTGACCCCCGGAACTCTCTCCAGATAAACTCCAGATAAACCAAGGCAGGTTGATTTTAATGAGTGAAAATAAATTCATCATTGGCCGTCTCCCACCGAGTCAGAGTGGATTATCAAAAACAAAGAAACACTTTCACCATCATTCACACTATCACTGTCTTTGCAGAGGCGCTCAGACACGACAGTTTAGGTGTCACTCTAAACAGCAAATCTCCCAAACCCCTCATTTAAAGTGCAGGCATTGTACTTCCCTCCTCCAGGACTCAAGTCCGGCTAACCGCTTTCCCTGAATCTCTTCACGACATATTTCCCTGCTCACACTCCAAAGCTTGTCAAGTCCCAAAAACCATTCGTTTCCACTCTCTCCTATCTAACACGTTCACACATGTATTCTGTAAGTCCAAGCCCCTTGCACACAAAACCTCCTTTACCCTCTCCCTCCATCTTTTCCTAGGACATGTCCTACCCCTCCTTCCCTCCACTACAGATTTATACACCCGCCAAGTCATCCTATTTTGCTTCATCCTCTCTAATTGGCAAAACCACCTTAACAACCCCTCGTCAGCCCTCTGAATAATAATTTTAGTAATTCCACAACTCCTAATTTCCACACTACGAATTGTCTACATAATATTTACGCCACACATTGCCCTTAGACACGATATCTCCACTGTCTCAAGCCTCCTTCTCACTACAACATTCACAGCCAATGCTTCACACCCATATAAGAGTGTTGGTACCATTATATTCTCATACATTCCTTTCTTTGCCTCCATGGATAATGATCTTTGTTTCCACAGATACCTCAGTGCACCACCCACCTTTTTTCCTTCATCATTTCTATGGTTTACCTCGTCTTTCATAAACCCATCCGCCGACAAATCTGCTCCCATATATCTGAACACATTCGTTCCTTCCAACCTGATATCCAATTTTTCGTTGCCTAACTCGTTTGATTCCCTCATCACCTTATGCAAGTTTTTTTTTTTTCATTTTTCCGTTCCATGAATCTGAGAATATCATATATGGCAAATGTAATATTTTTAAGTAGCGTTTGACTTACAAAATATTAAGAGAATATTGACGAAGCACACACTTGTGTATCTCTGAAACTGTTAATGTTGCGAACTCTTGAGTAGAGGAGGATATTTAAGAGTTGGACTTAAGACACTTCACTTACTGTTAAGAAAGTGTAAATGACACACATTATGTCATCCTTTTTATGACCGCCTTTGATTAAGGAGAGGGCTCTTGATCCAAGGAACTGGATCTCTCGCTCTTTTCCTTCGATCGACACTGGTGACCTCTCATCTCCACGTGTCATAGTTTTTTAATGTTTCATTATGTTTCACAGATTTTTTATCATATTTCCTTAGGTTCTTTATTAGTAATAAAACTAATGACTCACTGTTTTTGTTTATATGTTTGTCTGTGTTTACGAGGTTTGCGTGAGAGTTCTTGCGGGTGAAGTCAGTAACAAAGATTTTTTTTTATTGTAATCAGGAGCAGAGGCATCAAAATGCGAGTCAGCGCAGTGCCTTTTAGCTTAAGTTCCTAATCATCACCTAACAAGCTCATACATCACTCAAGGTCAAACATCACCCAACGAAGTTATTTGTCACCCCATGAGGCCAAGCATCACCAAACGAGGTCAGTGACTATTTAACAAGGTCAAAAAGGTCATATCAACATCTCTGTGTACCATTGGCCTATTGTTCCAACACTAAATTGAAGTGTTATTACTTGCCCTCTATATAGTAGCCATCACCACTCCCCCGTATTAAACACTTGACAAAGTTACTCTGACGCCCAAGCAAGCTTCGCTCAAGAGTATTTAGACAAAATTAATAACGCAATGAACATTTTAAGGGCCAATCCAAAAACCAAAGTTTTACCTTGACAGCAGATGCTGTTATTTTGGGTGGTGAGAGGGACTTGTAATGTGTGTGTATATAAGTGACCGAGTCAGCCACACCAGACACACACACACGGTGATGACAGCCATACGACCCTCGGTGAGCAAGTTGCTGAGGCTGTGTATTAAATTCTTGAGCGAAGACACTTGCGAGCAGTTCAGGATATTCATTAAAGACAGCGTTCTGCCAAGAGCGGCTTTATCAGTCCTGACTTCATCAGTCCTGGCTTTATTAATCTTGGCTTCATCAGTCCTGGTTTCATCAGTCCTGACTTCATCAGTCCTGGTTTCATCAGTCCTGACTTCATCAGTCCTGACTTCATCAGTCCTGACTTCATCAGTCCTGGCTTCATCAGTCCTGGCTTCATCAGTCCTGGCTTCATCAGTCCTGGCTTCACCAGGGCTAATAAAGCCGGGACTGACCTGTACACAAGTGTACTTTTCCAAAGTTTCTTGGTATCATCATTCCATTTACAACCCGTGAATTAGATTCACGGGAAAGCGCTTAAACCGTGAGGGGTCATACAAGTGCCTGGGAAATGGAGACTTGATTTAGGGAAGAAGAAGAAGAAGGTAACTGCAATTCCTTGGATCAAGATCCCTTCACTACCACGAAGTACACTTCTTGAAGGGTGGAGATGTCAAGTGTAATATCCCTGAGACTCAGCTGACCTTTCACCTTCAGCACCTGAACTCTTCAACATTTAGCGCTCTATTTGAATGTAATCATTAATAATTCCATCTGAACTACTTCTTCCACAGCTCTTCTCTTTCATTTCAGTTTGTCAAGTTCATTACTCTTAGAACTTTTGCTCGTATTTCAGTTCACTGACTTTTTAGTGTTATTTGATTAGGTGTGAGTTCCATGTTGGAGCTGCGTACTCTTTGATAGGAAGTTACTTTCATTTATTATTATTATTATTATTATTATTATTATTATTATTATTATTATTATTATTATTATTATTATTATTATTATTATATTATTGTTATATTTAAAAAGAAGTGCTATATTAGTATGGGCCATACAACGTTAGGTAGTGTCGAGTGTGTTAAGCGTTCTTTTTAATTAGGTCCATGAAGAAAATTTGTAAATTTAATAGACCCTGAAGGCATTTCTTTAATTTGCTACAACCTGATTTGCTAGTCTTACGGTTACATCCTCACACATTCCGTCTCACTTAACAATCTTGTCGACTTTCATATGGTAATATTTGTGTTTCTACCGCAGCTACTCCTGATGGGGGTGATCGTTGCCCTTGCCGACCCACGCCACCAAGCTCCCTACCACCCTCCAACATCCTCCATCAACAATCACGATCCTGGTGTCCCGGTCTGCGCCTCCATCACCAACAAGACCTGGTGCCTGGAGGACTCCGAGTACCCAACCTACGATATCAAGCATGCCCTGGAGAACCACTACCAGAAGGTGCTCGATTTATATACCGATGTGGCTGATCTCAACACCCAGCTCTCCGTGGAGGGTCCGAAGATTCTGCCAGAGGAGACTTATCTCTGTTCATCAGAGACTTCCTACGTCAAGCCTCTGAGGGCTCAGAACTCCCTCGGGAAATGGCGCTTCATCGTGAATGACATTGAGATTCACTATGAGAGACTTACACAAACCACCCATATCGAAGAGTGTCTCACGTCTGGCAGTGTTTGTCCTCTGGTGCCCGTGTGCTACGAGTCTAAATGTCTGCAGAAGTCCATCTATCATCGCTTCCTCGTCTACGACCCCTATGATAAGTACTTTCCCTTCGCTGTTGATAACTTCAAGCTGCCCTCCAGCTGCGCCTGTCTCCTGGACGCCTACACCATTAACCATTTAGACCAGTACTCTTCTATGTATCTGAAATGAAAACCTTCTTTTCGAATTTACCTGTGGTTCCTGGTGTTTCGCTGTGGTCCCCGATGGTTTCTTGTGGTCTTCGGTTTCTGCGGTCCCTGCAGCAGCACCACGACTGAGGCAACCTATGCCGTAAAGCAACAGCACGTTACGTAAAGATAAGTTGCAGAGTGATCCCCGGTGGTTCCTTATGTTCCCCGGTTTCTGTCTACCTGGCCTGGAATCTACCTGGAAGGTATTCTGGGGATCAACGCCCCTGCGGCCCGGCCCACGACCAGGTCTCCTGGAGGATCAGGGCCTGATCAACCAGCCTGTTACTGCTGGCCGCACGTAGTCCAACGTACGAATCACAGCCCGGGTGATCCGGCACTGACTTTAAGTATCTGTCCAGCTCCCTCTTGAAAGCACCCAGGGGCCTATTGGTAATTCCCCTTATGCCTGGTGGGAGGCTGTTGAACAGTCTTGGACCCCGGACACTTATTGTGTTTTCTCTTAGTGTACTAATGGTACCTCTACTATTCATTGGGAGTATTTTGCACTGCCTGCCCAGTCTTTTACTTTCGTAGGGAGTGATTTCTGTGTGCAGATTCGGGACCATTCCTTCTAGGATTTTCCATGTGTGGTCCTTGCAGCCGCTCCGCGACTGTTGCAACACCTGCAGTAAAGCAACAGCTCGACGTTACGTAAAGAAAGCAGTTCTCTAGACACTTTGTCATAAGTTAGTTTCCTCAGAAGCACAGTTGTGTAAGCGTTTAATGTCATCACTCCAATTAAACTACTTGTTGCGTCCAAGTTATTTTTACATTAACATAAATTCAATATAATGGCGCCGTGAGAGACTCAGTTTTTCACGTACAGTAACATGTTTAATTTTTTTCAGAAATATTGTGTTAATTCTAATATTAAAAATGAAACTAACGCTTAAGATGGCGAAGCGTTAAAAAGTATTGGTAATGAAAACCACTAATTCTTCTACCAGCACCGGCTGAATAACCCACAAGGGTTTAGCTCGTCATGGGAAATAAAACACGATCTACGATGTGATCCAATCCTCAAATTCCTTGATGTTTAACATAATTATATTACACATGTCCAGGGCAGTCAGCGTGTCCAAATTTTTTGTACTGATGATGGCTGGTCTGGCGACCGTTGCCGGTATTTTTAAGACGAGAAAATTATTATGTAATATCGTAAATAAAATACTCAGGTGGTATAAAACACTCACGACGATGGATTATCCCAACCAGCAACTTTTCGCTGGCAATTATTTGACACCGTTTCGCTGAGTCTTTTTCAGCAGTCAGAGTTCGGACGCTGTCCTCAGCCACGACACCTGGGTCCCTGCCTGGGGATGTGAAGAGAACACATATCAAGGAGCAAGCTTTTATTGAGACCATATTTCACTTTGTGTGGCAAAGCGAAACGTTGTCGTGGTAAAAACTTACGCTGCAACCTATCTCTTCCCCTACCCCCCCCCCCCGTTACACAATACTCAAATAACCCAGGCATAAGAGAATGAACTGTCTGCAGTGCAACATTTAGACGGAAGCCCAGGTGCTCCGAAGATCCCATTACCCCTCCTGGTGCTTTCAGGATCCCACTCCCAGTACTCTTCCTGGTGCTTGCAGAATACTAGTACTTCTCCTGCTGCTCCCAGGATCCTAGTACCCCCCTCTACGAGATTCTCCAACCCACACAGCTACGAGAAGATCCTCTCCTGTGCTGGCATTCATAGGTCATCACCCACAGACTAACTGGTCGCGGCTGCAAATTTCGCTTTCCCAACACGAATAAAATAAAAATAATACTGAGAACAGTAACAATAAATAATAATAATAATTAATAATAATAATAATAATAATAATAATAATAATAATAATAATAATAATAATAATAATAATAGGATTTTTATTGCCAGTATTTTTAAACATTTCTTGAGTGCGTAAAAAGTTTATTAACAATGAATACAACAACTGCTAAAAATACAGAAAATTATTTAAAAATCTCATTTAGAAATATAACCGAGATAAGAATTATACTGCATGAGATATCACGATGAACAACTTTGCAAAAGATAACCAGTGCAACAAATTGAGGTAAGCCATGTATAAAACCAGCAAATCAAAATTTATAATAAAATATAATAAAATATATATAAGATGACCAGAGAACTGCTTTCTTTACCTCTACCACTGATACGTTGTACCAGGGATGGTGACTTACACCGGATACCATCAGTGGTTCATTTTAGTTGTACAGAGGGTAAAAGATTCAGGATTTATAGGGAATTTTTTGACACAAGCTTCATATTCTTTTGTTGATAGTGATAAGTCTTATGGCAGGTTTTATTTGCGGATAATGAAGGCTCCCAGAAGACAGTTGCAGCTGGCGGGCAGCTTGAATGTCTCGATGGCGAAGGGAAAGTACTGATCATAGGGATCGTAGACGAGGAAGCGGTGGTAGATAGACTTCTGCAGACACTTGGACTCGTAGCACACTGGCACCAGAGGGCAGGAGTCGCCAGGCTTCAGGCACTCCTCAGTTCGGGTCGTCTGAGTGTAGGTCTTATAATCAATCTTGATGTTATTAACGATGACGCGCCACTTGCCTTCGGTGTTCTGGGCTCGCAGAGGCCTGACGTAGGCGGTCTCTGAGGGACAGAGGTATGTTTCATCCTCCAGGGTCTTCAGATGATCAACCGAGAGTTCGGTGTTAAGATCAGCCACGTCAGCATAGAGGCTAAGAAACTTTGGTAAGTGAGCTGTAATAGCTGCTTTGATCTCATAAGTTGGGTACTCTGAGTCCTCCAAGCACCAGGGCCTCTTGGTATTGGCGGCGCAGGTGGGTGTAGGATAATCAGAGTGTGGATGATAGGTAGGGTGCGAGGGATAAGTTGGAGGGCGAGGATGTCTGGCTCCCGCATAGCTGACATGAGAGGTAACGTGGGATGTCACTTCAGCCATGGCCACAGTTAAGGCTGAGAGTATTAACTGAAACACCAATAGTATAATAACAGTTATATGATAAAACAAAAAACTATAATATATAGGAATTTGTTGAAATGCTGCAGTTCACGTGAACATGAAGGTTCTAAGGGAACCTACCACATGACTTAATATATGACAATAAAGTCTGTAAAACTAGTGAGTTAGTAACATGTAAAGACCTCCTTAATTATGGAGAGTTAACACAACTCTTCATAATACATGTTGGTTTATTTATCAGGAAATGTTGTGTGACACATCTTTATCAAAAAGATGAGTCGTTGAGTGGTGCCAGAACTATGGCAAGGAGGGGTAGCAAATTCCCTTATTTGTGAGCCAAGTCAGCAGAAACCACATACTGCTTTTTTAATAGTGTGTATGTTAAAAATGCAAGAAAAGCTTCACACATATAGAACCTAAGTGTTCTCCAGATAAAGTCAGACTTGTCTGACTGATACAACTAAGTCTTCACATTGTGGTTATGACAATAACGAAACTTCTGCTGTCAAGTTGCTGTTGCTGTTCTTAAGTTAACAGGATCAGGTGGAGACCTTCACTGATTGGTGATAAGCACCTACGTTCCTAATGTCCTAAGCTTCTGCTACTTTTCTCATTATTACTGTAATAAGCGAGGGTTTACCAGGGATTAGTACTTATGTTGTTTTTGAGTTTACTATAATAAGTTATTGCCCTTGTTTCTAAGTTCACTGTAACACGTAAGGTCCCTCATGGACTTTACGTGTCGCTGACACCCTAAGTTGCAGCTACTGTTCTTTAAGTTCACTATGACAAGCTGGGGTCCCCCAAGATTCAGTACTAAATCCACTACTGTCGCTACCGCCCCAGTTCACTCACCAGAGATCTCATCGTCATGTCTTCAGGCAGACCGTTCGTGACTTTCCTGGGTGCTGAGAGTGAGTGTGGTAGCCAGAAGGAAGACTCACCTATTTATACCCAGCTCAGACACGACGTTCACCGCCACACCTGTTAACAACCCGATATAGCTGTGGTGAGTAACACTTGTCGCCGCCTCCCACTCCAGGTGCCTACAGGCTTTCTCGAAGGAGTTAGTATCTGATGGTATCTCTTACCCACACACACACACACAATAAAATTATTAATTAAAAGAGGAGGTTGTAATGCTGCAGCTATTGGGAATGATAACAAATATATAATGAAATAATTATGAGTGAAGACGGGACACCAGAACCTTAGTTCTGCTCCTGTAGTTACAAATGATAAAAATACTCATACTCATACACATAGGCAAACAGAAGCTAAGACTCAACGAGAAGATAGGTGAGTACATGTAGGTGGGAACTCGGTTATCGGACTAAGGATCAAGTCTTCAAGTGGCTTTAGCAAGCCTAGGTCGAATGTCCCACACAGTTTTATTGCACAGTTGAAAAAATGAAAAAGTCGAGCCGAAGGGATACTAGATAAATTTTCTTTGCAAATAAAGTGATAGGTTAATGGAATGGATTAAAGGAGATTGTACAAAAATTATCAAATGGACAGTACAGAAAATGGGACACCAAAAGCATAGCTCTTCTCGTGTAACTGTAAATAGGCAATTACAAATAGGTAATTACACACGCTCGCGCACGTAAGATGGTTGCGTGGTTGACTACGGCAGACGAAACTAGTGAAAGACTGGGTGAAATGATGTGGTGCATCACGGGTCTCACCACAAGCACGACATCCTAGCTTAGACTCCCTAGTGTCAGGCTGACAACACTACACGCATGCTGACTCTTAGTGATTTCAAGGAATCATTATCAACACCATATATATATATATATATATATATATATATATATATATATATATATATATATATATATATATATATATATATATATATATATATATATATATATATATATGCAAAACAACCACTCTGAAAGAATAGAGAAATTCCAAGCGCATTCGTGACTACTCACATTATCAAGGAACTTGATAATGTGAGTAGTCACGAAACGCTTGGAATTTCTCTATTCTTTCAGAGTGGTTGTTTTGCATATTCTGAAATCACCTGTTTACTGTGATCTTATTGCATATATATATATATATATATATATATATATATATATATATATATATATATATATATATATATATATATATATATATATATATATATATAAATATATATATATATATATATATATATATATATATATATATATATATATATATATATATATATATATATATATATATATATATATATATATATATATATATATATAATATATAAATTAACCGGTTTCCCTGAATCCCTTCACAAAATATTACCCTGCTCACACTCTAACAGATCATCAGGTCCCAAATACCATTTGTCTCCATTCACTTCTATCTAACACACTCACGCATGCTTGCTGGAAGTCCAAACCCCTCGCCCACAAAACCTCCTTTACCCTCTCCCTCCAACCTTTTCGAGGACGACCCCTACCCCGCCTTCCTTCCCCTACATATTTATACTTTCTCCATGTCATTCTACTTTGATCCATTCTCTCTAAATGACCAAACCACCTTAACAAACCCTCTTCAGCCCTCTTGCTAATACTTTTATTAACTCCACACCTCCTAATTTCCACACTCCGAATTTTCTGCATAATATTTACTCCACACATTGCCCTTAGACAGGACATCTCCACTGCCTCCAACCGCCTCCTCGCTGCAGCATTTACAACCCAAGCTTCACACCCATATAAGAGTGTTGGTAATATATATAATATATATATATATATATATATATAAAATATATATATATAATATAATATATATATAATTATATATATATATTCAATAATTGACTTTAAGCGCTAAACCCTACTTTCTCATAAATATAATACCTAATAAACCCGCAGTCCCCTGCGGGTTTATTATACAGTAAACAGCACCTGGGGAGGGAGCCTGGTTTGTTCCAAGGAATGGGAGGGGTAGCTCTAATCCTTTGGACCAATGGTTACATGTGCGCGGCTCTGGTTGGGGGAAAACAAGAGCTCGATCCCAAGGAGAAGGATCCTCAGGGGCTCCATCCTAAGGAGGAAGATCCTCAGGAGCTCGATACTAAGATGGAGGATTAAATTTCATCCTTAAAATAATCAGGAATAAATTTTCCGCTGGTGGCACCACACTTGTCATGCTTAAGGGCATCAGATGTGCACGTTCCCTACGGGTTTAGCGCTTCCCCGTGAATATTAATGTAAAGGTCAGAGACCAATGAGACCTCTGTGTGCCTCAAGGTCAGTAAGATCACCCAGGTCTTGACTTCAGACCTTAATTTTTCACAGGTTTTGTTTTTCCCATACGAAATATCACTTCAAACGTAATAAAACGATATGCTAAAAAGTAATAAAACGATATGCTAAAACGTAATAAAACTATATGCTAAAACGTAATAAAACTATATGCTAAAACGTAATAAAACGATATGCTAAAACGTAATAAAACGATATGCTAAAACATAATAAAACTATATGCTAAAACGTAATAAAACTATATGCTAAAACGTAATAAAACGACATGCTAAAACGTAATAAAACGATATGCTAAAACGCAATAAAACGACTTGCTAAAACGTAATAAAACGATATGCTAAAACGTAATAAAACTATATGCTAAAACGCAATAAAACGACTTGCTAAAACGTAATAAAACGATATGCTAAAACGTAATAAAACGACATGCTAAAACGTAATAAAACGATATGCTAAAACGTAATAAAACTATATGCTAAAACGTAATAAAACGACATGTTAAAACGTAATAAAACTATATGCTAAAACGTAATAAAACGACATGCTAAAACGTAATAAAAAGATATGCTAAAACGCAATAAAACGACTTGCTAAAACGTAATAAAACGATATGCTAAAACGTAATAAAACTATATGCTAAAACGTAATAAAACTATATGCTAAAACGCAATAAAACGACTTGCTAAAACGTAATAAAACGATATGCTAAAACGTAATAAAACGACATGCTAAAACGTAATAAAACGATATGCTAAAACGTAATAAAACTATATGCTAAAACGTAATAAAACGACATGTTAAAACGTAATAAAACGATATGCTAAAACGTAATAAAACTATATGCTAAAACGTAATAAAACGACATGCTAAAACGTAATAAAACGATATGCTAAAACGCAATAAAACGACTTGCTAAAATGTAATAAAACGATATGCTAAAACGTAATAAAACTATATGCTAAAACGTAATAAAACTATATGCTAAAACGCAATAAAACGACTTGCTAAAACGTAATAAAACGATATGCTAAAACGTAATAAAACGACATGCTAAAACGTAATAAAACGATATGCTAAAACGTAATAAAACGATATGCTAAAACGTAATAAAACTATATGCTAAAACGTAATAAAACGACATGTTAAAACGTAATAAAACGATATGCTAAAACGTAATAAAACGACATGCTAAAACGTAATAAAAGATATGCTAAAACGTAATAAAACGACATGCTGAAAACGTAATAAAACGATATGCTAAAACGTAATAAAACGACATGCTAAAACGTAATAAAACGATATGCTAAAACGTAATAAAACGATATGCTAAAACGTAATAAAACGATATGCTAAAACGTAATAAAACAACATACTAAAACGTAATAAAACGATATGCTAAAACGTAATGAAACGATATGCTAAAACGTAATAAAACGACATGCTAAAACGTAATAAAACGACATGCTAAAACGTAATAAAACGACATGCTAAAACGTAATAAAACGATATGGTAAAACGTAATAAAACGACATGCTAAAAAGTAATAAAACGACATGCTAAAACGTAATAAAACGACATACTAAAACGTAATAAAACGATATGCTAAAACGTAATAAAACGATATGCTAAAACGTTTAGTTTTATACACAGGGGCGTACTGCAGACTATTTATAAAAAAAGATAAGTAAAAAGCACGCTTTATTATAACCACGTTTCACTCTAGCGCAAAATGCTGTCGCAATAAAATCTTGCTTTACGCTTGTCTTTGTTTTTATGAGAGAAACCAGAGTCAAAACTATGAACAGGAAAACCTGAGCGGTTTCACGTGCTGACACATACATCTTCACGTGCTGACACATATATCCTCACATGCTGACACATACATCTTCACGTGCTGACACATATATCCTCACATGCTGACACATACATCCTCACATGCTAACACATACATCTTCACGTGCTGACACATACATCCTCACATGCTGACACATATATCCTCACATGCTGACACATACATCTTCACGTGCTGACACATATATCCTCACATGCTGACACATACATCCTCACATGCTAACACATACATCTTCACGTGCTGACACATACATCCTCACATGCTGACACATATATCTTCACATGCTGACACATATATCCTCACATGCTGACACATACATCTTCACATGCTGACACATCTTCACGTGCTGACACATACATCCTCACATGCTGACACATATATCTTCACATGCTGACACATACATCCTCACATGCTGACACATATATCCTCACATGCTGACACATACATCTTCACGTGCTGACACATATATCCTCACATGCTGACACATACATCCTCACATGCTAACACATACATCTTCACGTGCTGACACATACATCCTCACATGCTGACACATATATCTTCACATGCTGACACATATATCCTCACATGCTGACACATATATCTTCACATGCTGACACATATATCCTCACATGCTGACACATACATCTTCACATGCTGACACATCTTCACGTGCTGACACATACATCCTCACATGCTGACACATACATCTTCACGTGCTGACACATACATCTTCACGTGCTGACACATACATCTTCACATGCTGACACATACATCTTCACGTGCTGACACATACATCTTCACATGCTGACACATACATCTTCACGTGCTGACACATATATCCTCACATGCTGACACATACATCTTCACGTGCTGACACATACATCTTCACGTGCTGACACATACATCCACACATGCTGACACATACATCTTCACGTGCTGACACATACATCTTCACATGCTGACACATACATCTTCACGTGCTGACACATACATCTTCACGTGCTGACACATATATCCTCACATGCTGACACATATATCCTCACATGCTGACACATACATCTTCACGTGCTGACACATACATCTTCACGTGCTGACACATACATCTTCACGTGCTGACACATACATCTTCACGTGCTGACACATACATCTTCACGTGCTGACACATACATCTTCACGTGCTGACACATACATCTTCACATGCTGACACATACATCTTCACGTGCTGACACATACATCTTCACGTGCTGACACATATATCCTCACATGCTGACACATACATCTTCACGTGCTGACACATACATCTTCACGTGCTGACACATACATCTTCACGTGCTGACACATACATCTTCACGTGCTGACACATACATCTTCACGTGCTGACACATACATCCTCACATGCTGACACATACATCCTCACATGCTGACACATACATCCTCACATGCTGACACATACATCCTCACATGCTGACACATACATCCTCACATGCTGACACATACATCCTCACATGCTGACACATACATCTTCACGTGCTGACACATACATCTTCACGTGCTGACACATACATCCTCACATGCTGACACATACATCCTCACATGCTGACACATACATCCTCACATGCTGACACATACATCCTCACATGCTGACACATACATCCTCACACGCTGACACATACATCCTCACATGCTGACACATACATCCTCACATGCTGACACATCCTCACGTGCTGACACATACATCCTCACATGCTGACACATACATCCTCACATGCTGACACATACATCCTCACATGCTGACACATACATCCTCACATGCTGACACATACATCCTCACGTGCTGACACATACATCCTCACGTGCTGACACATACATCCTCACATGCTGACACATACATCCTCACGTGCTGACACATACATCCTCACATGCTGACACATACATCCTCACATGCTGACACATACATCCTCACATGCTGACACATCCTCACGTGCTGACACATACATCCTCACATGCTGACACATACATCCTCACATGCTGACACATACATCCTCACATGCTGACACATCCTCACGTGCTGACACATACATCCTCACATGCTGACACATACATCCTCACATGCTGACACATACATCCTCACGTGCTGACACACATCTTCACAATAATTATTCCTCTAAAGATGGGAGTGTAAGCACATTAAAGATCTCAGATTTTCGTGTTTATTATTTTTTTTCATTCTATAGTGTTCTTTTTCATATGTGAAGTCAACCAGTTTATTGTGATTTCTAAGTTTAAGGACTGTCCAGCACACGACGGTTATTAAGACCGCGTGTCAGCTCTTCTCCACAAGTCATCAATATTTTAATCTTTAAAACAAGCGTTAAGAATAAATACTAAGCGTATATATACGCCGACAGACATGCAACGCTCTGTGTACATTTCTCTTCTTTCAGTTTATGTATAAATCATCATTTCGATTTATATATAAATCTTTTCGATTTATGTATAAATCTATTTGATTTATGTATAAATCTTATCGATTTATGTACAAATATTTTCGATTTATGTATAAATCGTTTCGATTTATGTATAAATCTTTTCGATTTATGTATAAATCTTTTCGATTTATATATAAATCTCTTCGCTTTATGTATAAATCCATAATACGTCGGCACTTTTTATACTGAATTATAATCTGTTTTCTTTTCTCTCAGAAATCTGATCAAGACAATTTATAAATTTATCAACAATAGATAATTCAGCATTGTATTTGTATATTTTATTGTTTTACCAATTACATTAACAAAAACAAAGCAAAATATATAACGAATTGCAACAATATAAACATGAGAGTCAACGACGAACATACATTTTGGTACATAAGGCATTCATACTAATTGAAAAAAAATCAACTTCGTTATACTAAAAGCAGTCAGTGAGCCTAAACGAATTAAATCAATGACACACGATTTAATTAAGGCTTCCTCTGTTTGTGTTCTCAGTGTCTACTAGGTTGAAGCCTCAGAAAACATTCCACTGGTCATCTTACATTTTAAAGAGTGAAAGACGATATACTGGAATATTTACTTGAGAAGTGATCCCCAGACGCCGGTGATCAAAGGCATTCAGCTTGGTTGAACGGTCGAAAGACGATATAACTCGGGCATGGTACCATACACGTGAAGTATTTTCAGTAGTCGATGGTGTAGGAGTCCAATAGACAGGCACAGCTGGCAGGCAGCTTGAACGTCTCAATGGCGAAGGGAAAGTACTGATCATAAGGATCGTAGACGAGGAACCGGTGATAAATGGACTTCTGCAGGCAAGTGGAATCGTAACATTCAGGTACTAAGGGACAGTCTTCGCCGGGAGTCAGGCACTCCTCGATGCGGGTTGTTTGGGAGAGAGTCACATAATGAATCTTGATGTGGTTCACGATGACGCGCCACTTGCCCTCGGTGTTCTTGGCTCGCAGAGGCCTGATGTAAGTAGTTTCTGAGGGACAGAGGTACGTCTCCTCCATCAGACCCTTAACGGAGAGTTCGGTGCTGAGATCATCTAAATTAGCATAGAGTGAGAGGACTTTCTCGTAGTGTTGGCCCACAGCGTGTTTGATCTCATAAGTTGGGTACTGGTCATCCTCGATGCACCAGGACTTGGTAGTGTTGGCGGCGCAGGTGGGGACGACGGGACCATGGCCATAGTGTGGTCCCTGATGGTAGGAGGGTCTTCGGTGGAATGAATATGGCACTGGGTTGTAGGTAAGTAGAGACGATTTTGGTGCCTGTGCCACATCCGATTCTTCAGTAGGTGACGATGTTGTGCTACTGTTAGATGTTAATGATGTGCTATTGTCAGCTGTTGTCTCCTGGGAGGATGAGGAGGATGTTGAAAGAGGTGTTGCTGGCTGCTCCGATGGTGATGTAGTCTGGCTGGATGTTGTTGGTGTTGACGATGGTTCTTGAGTTGAGGAAGTCAGGGTGGGGTAACCAGCACCTTTGTAGACGACCCGAGTGTTTACATGTGACGTGCTGGAGGCCGTCGCTATGGCAACACCCATCAGAATTACCTGAAGCAATAAATAAGACTGATAATCAGAGAACAGGTTATCTTGAGTCACTCAGAAAAGTTAGTCATCTCATTGACTAATTTATAACTCTGAATACTAACGATGTTGATGGCATATTCACTGGTGTATTATATACACTTCAATGAATTTAAATCAAATTATGCTTATTATATATATATATATATATATATATATATATATATATATATATATATATATATATATATATATATATATATATATATATATATATATATATATATATATATATATATATATATATATATATATATATATATAATACATATATATATATATTATATATATATATATATATATATATATATATATATATATATTATATATATATATATGTCGTGCCGAATAGGCAGAACTTGCCATCTTGGCTTAAATAGCAACGCTCATCTTGCCATATAGGACAAGTGAAAATTTGTGTATGCAATAATTTCGTCAAAATCATTCTGAACCTAACGAAAAAAATATATTTCACTGTGTTTGTTTAGTATTAAATTATTGTAAACAAATCTAAAATATATTTAGTTGGGTTAGGCTAAAATAAATTGCTCTTGTTATAATAAGGTTAGGTAAGTTTTCTAAGTTCCTTTTGGTGCAAAATTATAAATTTTTACATCAACATTAATGACAAAAATATATCTTTAAACGTATAAGAGAAAATTTTAGAAAGGACTTAATTTTAAATGAGTTTTTGCTAATTGACCAGTTTTACATATTCGGCACGACATATATATATATATATATATATATATATATATATATATATATATATATATATATATATATATATATATATATATATTATATATATATATATATATATATATACTTGTATTTTACTTCTATAAATATTATTATTGCTACTAATATAAAAAAAATTTACTTTCAGTTTAAAAATACATGAAATTATCGCAGGCTAAGATAGGTATCTGTGCAGTTACAACACAATCGTCAAAAAAATGGTAGACCAAAGTAGCGTAGCAACATAATAATGATTGTTAAGTTGTGATTTTATCACTGCAGATGATAATATCTATTTCCAAAGAAAACAAGTGTGCATAGTATCCTGTGTGAAGATGTGCAGGCAGGTGTTCACCGTGAGGGAGGTTAGAACCATCGTTGCGAGAGCTGGTGGTCTAGGCAGCAGGTGGGAACACACTGCTTGGAATACATCAGTCTCACCTTATATAGTGAAGGCAAATGCTACTCTCACTGCTCCAGTAGAGAGATTATTTTTGGTCCATTTTGGTGGGTGGGGTGATGATAGGGCAGCTGGAAGTGAACTTGGAGATAGTTGGCAGGGTCTTGGAGACAGCTGGTAGGGGTAATAGAGGCAGCTAAGAGAAGTGATCCTTTCTTTTATTAAGTGGAGTGGACAATTATCGTTCACTTGATAAGCAATCACCCAGTGGTTGCTTATCGAATGAACGATCATACATTTCATCGACAAAGACGCGAATCAGCAGGTTCTCTCCAGTTTCCTGACAAACATCTTGTTACAGTTCCCTTGATATCGGTGAAATCTTATTACAAGGGACCTGATTATCCTTCCCTTCCTTAGTTCAAACCTGAGTCCTTCCCATTACCTAAGGCCTATATGATCCCGATGGGTCTAGCGCTTTCCCACTTTATAAAACTCATCACAAATTCTTAGACCCCAGGTAATGTTGTTATTCATTTATTATTATTCATGATAATAAATGAATACCAACACATTCTGGGGACTGCGTCGTTTATCATGTTTTATCCATGGGAAGGGTGCAGGGTTCCTGTTCCTTGGATGAGGAACCCTTCACTTGAATCTAGGGTCTATTCCTCTTGAAGGAGCCGAGGCAGACAAGTGTAACAAAGAAAGCAATGCTGCCACAAGTTAGGAAACTTTTATTACGATGTTTCACTCACAGAAGCAATTACAGCTGTTGCCTTGACTTAAGAAATCGGGGGTATGGTTTGATTACAGCTGTTGTTTGGTAACCTGGTGAAAGATTTTAAACCACCATTGTACCAGTGGTTACTGCATCACTGGTGTGCCAGTACTAGTATACCAGTTGTTACTGCATCACTGGTGTGCCAGTACTAGTATACCAGTTGTTACTGAATCACTGGTGTGCCAGTACTAGTATACCAGTGGTTACTGCATCACTGGTGTGCCAGTACCAGTATACCAGTGGTTACTGCATCACTGGTGTGCCAGTACCAGTATACCAGTGGTTACTGCATCACTGGTGTGCCAGTACTAGTATACCAGTTGTTACTGCATCACTGGTGTGCTAGTACCAGTATACCAGTGGTTACTGCATCACTGGTGTGCCAGTACTAGTATACCAGTTGTTACTGCATCACTGGTGTGCTAGTACCAGTATACCAGTGGTTACTGCACCACTGGTGTGCCAGTACCAGTATACCAGTGGTTACTACATCACTGGTGTGCCAGTACTAGTATACCAGTTGTTACTGCATCACTGGTGTGCCAGTACTAGTATACCAGTGGTTACTGCATCACTGGTGTGCCAGTACTAGTACACCAGTGTTTACTGCATCACTGGTGCGCCAGTACTGGTACACCAGTGGTTACTGCATCACTGGTGTGCCAGTACTAGTACACCAGTGGTTACTGCATCACTGGTGTGCCAGTACTAGTATACCAGTTGTTACTGCATCACTGGTGTGCTAGTACCAGTATACCAGTGGTTACTGCATCACTGGTGTGCCAGTACTAGTATACCAGTTGTTACTGCATCACTGGTGTGCTAGTACCAGTATACCAGTGGTTACTGCACCACTGGTGTGCCAGTACCAGTATACCAGTGGTTACTGCACCACTGGTGTGATAGTACCAGTATACCAGTGGTTACTGCATCACTGGTGTGCCAGTACCAGTATACCAGTGGTTAATGCATCACTGGTGTGCCAGTACTAATATACCAGTGGTTACTGCATCACTGGTGTGCCAGTACCAGTATACCAGTGGTTACTGCATCACTGGTGTGCCAGTACCAGTATACCAGTGGTTACTGCATCACCGGTGTGCCAGTACCAGTGTACCAGTGGTTACTGCATCACTGGTGTGCCAGTACCAGTATACCAGTGGTTACTGCATCACTGGTGTGCCAGTACCAGTATACCAGTGGGTACTGCATCACTGAGTGTGCCAGTACCAGTATACCAGTGGTTACTGCATCACTGGTGTGCCAGTACCAGTATACCAGTGGTTACTGCATCACTGGTGTGCCAGTACCAGTATACCAGTGGTTACTGCACCACTGGTGTGCCAGTACCAGTATACCAGTGGTTACTGCATCACTGGTGTGCCAGTACCAGTATACCAGTGGTTACTGTATCACTGGTGTGCCACTACCAGTATACCAGTGGTTACTGCATCACTGGTGTGCCAGTACTAGTATACCATTGGTTCCTGCATCACTGGTGTGCCAGTACCAGTATACCAGTGGTTACTGCATCACTGGTGTGCCAGTACCAGTATACCAGTGGTTACTGCATCACTGGTGTGCCAGTACCAGTATACCAGTGGTTACTGCATCACTGGTGTGCCAGTACCAGTATACCAGTGGTTACTGCACCACTGGTGTGCCAGTACCAGTATACCAGTGGTTACTGCATCACTGGTGTGCCAGTACCAGTATACCAGTGGTTACTGCATCACTGGTGGGCCAGTACCAGTATACCAGTGGTTACTGTACCACTGGTGTGCCAGTATCAGTATACCAGTGGTTACTGCATCATTGGTGTGCCAGTACTAGTATACCAGTGATTACTGCATCACCGGTGTTCCAGTACCAGTATACCAGTGGTTACTGCATCACTGGTGTGCAAGTACCAGTATACCAGTGGTTACTGCACCACTGGTGTGCCAGTACCAGTATACCAGTGGTTACTGCATCACTGGTGTGCCAGTACTAGTATACCAGTGGTTACTGCATCACTTGTGTGCCAGCACCAGTATACCAGTGGTTACTGCATCACTGGTGTGCCAGTACCAGTATACCAGTAGTTACTGCACCACTGGTGTGCCAGTACCAGTATACCAGTGGTTACTGCACCACTGGTGTGCCAGTACCAGTATACCAGTGGTTACTGCATCACTGGTGTGCCAGTACCAGTATACCAGTGGTTACTGCATCACTGGTGTGCCAGTACCAGTATACCAGTGGTTACTGCACCACTGGTGTGCCAGTGCCAGTATGCCAGTGGTTACTGCATCACTGGTGTGCCAGTACCAGTATACCAGTGGTTACTGCACCACTGGTGTGCCAGTACCAGTATACCAGTGGTTACTGCACCACTGGTGTGCCAGTACTAGTACACCAGTGGTTACTGCATCACTGGTGCGCCAGTACTAGTACACCAGTGGTTACTGCATCACTGGTGTGCCAGTACTAGTACACCAGTGGTTACTGCATCACTGGTGTGCCAGTACCAGTATACCAGTGGTTACTGCATCACTGGTGTGCCAGTACCAGTATACCAGTGGTTACTGCATCACTGGTGTGCCAGTACCAGTATACCAGTGGTTACTGCATCACTGGTGTGCCAGTACTAGTATACCAGTGGTTACTGCATCACTGGTGTGCCAGTACCAGTATACAAGTAGTTACTGCATCACTGGTGTGCCAGTACCAGTATACCAGTGGTTACTGCATCACTGGTGTGCCAGTACCAGTATACCAGTGGTTACTGCATCACTGGTGTGCCAGTACTAGTACACCAGTGGTTACTGCATCACTGGTGTGCCAGTACCAGTATACCAGTGGTTACTGCATCACTGGTGTGCCAGTACTAGTATACCAGTGGTTACTGCATCACTGGTGTGCCAGTACTAGTACACCAGTGGTTACTACATCACTTGTGTGCCAGTACCAGTATACCAGTGGTTACTGCATCACTGGTGTGCCAGTACTAGTATACCAGTGGTTACTGCATCACTGGTGTGCCAGTACCAGTATACCATTGGTTACTGCATCACTGGTGTGCCAGTACCAGTATACCAGTGGTTACTGCATCACTGGTGTGCCAGTACCAGTATACCAGTGGTT